TGTTGTTATTTTTGCTGCAGTTGTCGCTGTTCTTCCCCTTATCCTCCTCCTCCTCCTCCTTCTTGTTCTTGTTGTTCATCTTCTTGTTCTTGTTCTTGTTCTTGTTCTTGTTCTTCTTTTTCTTCTTCTTCTATGCCCCTACCGTCCCTCTCATCACCATTTTTCCGCCACTACCACAGCCATGCAAGACCCCACATCCAAAAGCTCGTAGGATAAAAAGCATTTTTTCTTCTTTGTCCGGCATCTGGTACTTTACAGTGTCTAGGGGAGAAGCAAACGTGTTTTCTTGTTTGTTGTGTCGCCAGTTGCATGGTTATCATATTGCTTTTGTCTAAAGCTTCTCTGACCCCCTCTATCTTTTCTTGGGCCCCGCCTCTTCCTCTGTATCCATCTGAGGTTGTATGCTCTTGCTGCTCTACTGCCTGGTGGTAGTTTTGATAGAAGTCCAAACCATTTATTTCATTCCTTGTTTATCTATGCACTTCAAGCAGGGAGTTGAGCACACTTATTTTCTATCTGATAAAAGATACCCTCTTTCAATGTGTTCCTGTATCTCAGAAAAAAACTACCCCCCCCCACCCTTTCTGAGTACTCTCACAGGGGGTGGATGGGGGGTGCTCTGGTGTGGTTTGCTCCTTCTTACCTATTAAACATCTATCGCGTACCTTATCTCGCCTTCTTTTAAGTGAGTGTTATTTATACGGGGTGCCCACTACAGATGGAATCGGCCGATATGCCGATCGCCCGACTCGGTCGCCTAAAAAACAATCGTATTTGTTTTCAGTGTCAGGCGACGAGTTGGATGATCGGCCCGAACCAACCGTAGTGAGCACCCCGTATTACTCTCTTTTAACACATCGATTCTTCGGCACTTATATGACCTTATTGCGTTGCACGTGCTGCGAAACTCTTATTAAAACTAAAACTAATGTACTCCCACATCTCAGAATAAAACCATCCTGCCCCCCTCCCCCCCCCCCAACATGTAAGACTTACATGTACTTACCCTGCTCATAGTCCGGGGCTATCCGCGCGTTGTAGGTACTGGAGTTGACGATCAGGATCTCCAGCACGTCTTGTCTGTGGACACAGGGAGAAACAGGGATAAACAGGGACAAAAAAGGGGTAAACAGGGAGAAACAAGGAGAAATAGGGAGAAACAAGTATTAACAGGGGCATAGGGGGAAACAGAAACAGGCATAAACAGGGATACAGGGAGATACAAGGATATACTGCGGAAAAACAAGGAGAAACAGGGAGAAACAGGGATATACAGTGATATACAGGGATAAACAGGGATATACAAAGAGGAATAGTGATAAACAGAGATAAACAGGGATACAGGGATAGTCAGTATAGGGGGGAAAACAGGGATAGAAGGAGAATAATGGACAAAGACAGTCATGTATCAGGGAGAAAGACAGTAAGATGTTAGATAAAAAGACAGTAAGGTATCAGATAAAAAGAGAGTAAGATGTCAGGGAGAAAAACAGTGAGGTTTTAGGGAGATATCAAGGTGTGGTATCAGGGAGAAAGACAGTAAATTATCAGATAAAAAGACAGTAAGATATTAGGGAAGAAAGACAGTAAGGCATCAGGGAGAAAGGCATTGATACATCAGGGAAGAGGACGACAAGATCTTCGATACACTAGCCTTCTTAACCCGTTCACAAGCTAAATAATATGTTCACAAGCTAAACCAGAACTCCAGTACGTTAGTGTTCGTAAGAGTTTTACGGCACTTGTAATGCATTTGGGCATACGAGGGCCGAATATTAAAGGCGTCTCTAGGGAGTATCATGCAAATAAAATTAGGAGAGAAAGGGGCGATAGACGTTTAATTGAGAAGAAGTAGCAAACCACACCGGAAACCACACCAATCATCGATGGGAACAGAGAAAACGATCGCGTTGGGACACCAGGGATGAACCAGAGACGATTGTAGATAGACCAGTCTTTTACGTGCTAAAGACGAGAATATGAATGCAGTCATATAGGGATTGCGGTATGAGGTTATGAGATATCACGTTTTTGATGTAAGCGCACTGTGTTCTCCCAGTAGGATGTCAGATCCAAACGCAGACAGAGGAGATAATTTTTTGTCGAAACATTTGGCTGTAGAGGTGGCGAGCTGAAGATAATATGTATTCTAAAAAATATTGTAGCAGGCACGTTCCGAGTGTTTCATATATTTGTGTGTGTGTGTGTGTGTGTGTGTGTATGTGTTTATGTGTGTGTGTATAGTGTGTAGATGTGTGTGTATGTGTTTGTGTGTGTATCGTGTGTGTAGATGTGTGTGTGTGTGTGTGTGTGTGTGTGTGTGTGTGTGTGTGTGTGTGTGT